CTATGAACTTTTTAAGGCCCGAAAATATCATTTAATAATTTTTATAATTTTTAATAATTTTAGTTTTATTTATCACAATATTAGTAATTTCCGTTTTATTTTTATTTTTGAATATTTTTAGTATTAAAATACTTTTTAGTATAATTTCTCTGCATAATTATCAACTAAGTTAGTTTAATGGAACATCAATGTAATTTTTTTATCATAGTAAAATTCAATAGTTTTCTCTTTACGATTGATTTAGAACTTTATCTCATAAGTTTAACTTGCGTTTTCGTTTTAAGTTTAATGCTAACTAATCCTTCGTGATTCCGACTATATTTAATCTTCTATGCAATATGGAAAGGTAAACGTGATTGCACCGAAACAAATCAAATGTCCAATTCAATGTGTCAGTAGCTATGTTGCATATCAAGATGTTGCAGCAAACTAGATTGATCATGCGGTCGAACATGCCCTAAACATGAGTGTAACAAAATGATATGAGTTCTCGAAGCTCGCTAAAAACCGATGTATAAAAACTATACATCAAACTCATGAAAAGGAAAAGACTTTTCATACCGTGTTTAAAAAAAAACATAAAAGACTTAAAAGTTGATGGTTGAAGATGAGGTCTAATATGTAAGAAACTTACAAGTTACAAAGTTGTTGTACATATATTTAAGACTTACTCAGAACAAACTTGCTTTTAAAAGATTATTTTGCTGTTCTTTTGTTTTACAAATTGGGATCTACCAATGTTTTCCTGTGATTAATTTTCAGTCGATGAAGTGCAGATGTTACTTGTAGTTCAAGCTAGGACATGCTCCATCTCCTTGGCAAGTTGAGTTCCCAATCCAAGTAAGTCATTCTTGTGGCCCTGAATGTAAACATTCCAAAGTAATCAGCTCACCAAATTCACATATAACTTTGGAGATGAATCTAAATTTAAATTCTGAATGAAACAGTTTTTTGTTTGACTTCATTTATCTCTCGGCCGAACTCCAAATTACACGAACTTCATTGTCTTAAAAAAAGAAAGTTCTAAATGCAAGATATGTAACTCTACGTGTGCATTTCTTTGTGAGTTCAGGGATCTCAATTTATCAGAATAATAACTACCAATAAAAAAAATGTAAATCACAAACTTGAAATGATATTTGTTTACACAATTCAGTCATCAAAGTCGACTACTACGACTACAAAGCAACTCTAATTCTATTGTGAATGAATTAGAGTTACACTATTACTCTATATGAGATAGCTTCTTTTCCAAAAACTCATTGATAACTAAAAACTAAGGGTCATATGCTTCTGGTTAAGAATCCCAAATATAAAATATATTATATGTATATTAAATTAAATAAATACAATATTTTTTAAAAAGGTTAATTATTTTTTGTTTCTTAAAAATGGTGGGGTTCTTTTAAGAATAATTTATTATCTATTGTGGTAATTGAACAATTCGAAAGATTAATCTTTACAGTTGCGCGTAATCGATATCTAGATTATTTAATGAGATCATTTTGTATGTAGATGTTTTCAACGAACCATTTTCATATTAATGTGTCTACCATTAACTCTTTATCATTAAATACAAATTAGACTTGTTTGATAAGTCATATTTTTTAGCTTATAATTTATAAACTCATATGACAATTTAAATATGTTTGATAACAGGCTTTTTATTAGTTTATAGCTTATTTTTTAAATGCTATTTTAAATAGAGTTTTACCTTATAACTTATCATCTTTAATTTTAATTTTATCTTTATTATTTTAACAAAAATTCTCTTTTATCCTTTATAATTTAATTTAATTTAAAATAAAATAAGTATGTATTAAATATTTCTATGTCAATTGATATTTATAAGTTAGTTGAACTGTTAATTTTATCAAACACTTTAATTAGCTTAGCAACTATCAATCACCAACCATCAATTATAAAATATAAGTAATCAGTCATCAGTCGATCATCAGCTATCAGTCATAAGCTATATACTAGTTTATCAGTCAACCGTTATTTTTATCAAACAAAGAAATAATAACTTTAATGAAAGATATATTTAAAAATAAATATACAAATGCACTTAGTTATTTTTAAAATGTAAAACCAAATAAAATATACTAAAGATAAGAAAAACAATAAAACACACAAACAAGAGTGTCAACGGTGTACTTGAAAAACAAAAGTCAACTAAACAAAAAAGTCCATAAAAGTGAAGGCAAACAGAACGAAATCACAAAAAAATGAGAAGTCAACCCACCCGCTCTACAAAAAGTCTACGACTTATCAAAATTTTTAAAAAATTCCGATTCATCAACATCATTATCATAATGAATTAGAATTTCTTAATAAGTTTGATGTTTGATAGAATAAATTAGTCGAGAAAGAAGTGTTGATTGAAGAATTAGAAGTATCAAATCAAAATTCACATATAATATAATAAATTCAATTATATATTCTATTATATTAGACTGAACGTAATAAAAGTTGCACATTGAATAACATTATCAACAATAACATAGGGCAACAAAAAAAAACAACAACAATATAATATTTTACCTATAAATAAAATGTTATGTTATTGTTGTTGTTTTTGTTTCCTATATCAACAAAAAACAACAATATATATAACTCAATATTATCAACAAAACTAAACATTAACAAAATAGGGCAAAATAAGATGACAATTTAACTAAACATAAACAATATAACTAAACGTTAACAACATATATAATTCAACATTAATAACAAAAAACAACAACATAACTAACAATAACCACAACAATAATATAACCTTTTTTACTTATGTCAACAAAAAATCAACACATATAACTCAACTAAAACATCAACATTAACAAAATCCTTTTAATTGTATCAACAAAATCAACAACACAACTCTACAAAAACAACAACTTAACTCAACAAAAACATCAACATTCACAAAAAAAATTATTATTTGTATCAATAAAAACAACAACATAACTCAAAAAAACCAACAATATAACTCAACAAAAACATCGACATTAACAAAAATATTATTACGTTTATCAACAAAATCAACAACATAACCCAACAAAAAACAACAACATAACTAACAAAAATCACAAGATAACTTAAACTTTTTACTTATCTAAACCAAAATAACAATATAAAACATACAATATCATCTTAACAACGAGAAGAAAAAAAAACCCTAAACATCACAGTAATATAGAACAACAACAACATAACTCATAAAATGAATAGTGGAAAATGTTTCAAGTACATACCTTTCCATAGAAAGATTTATGGAAAATAAAATAAAAATAAATAAATGAGTTTTATGTTTTGTCTTACAAAGATTCGTGATACATTTCCTTAATCAACATAAATTGTAGAATTATTTTTGAGTTTTGTAAAGATACGTTGGAGTTTCGTAAGATTGAAATAAGACGGAAAAAGTTAAAGTTTTACTTTAGAGCAAAATATGTTATGAAAAGAATTAAATTAGTTTATATTAATAAAACATTTCACTACGGTTGATAAAATGAATCGTGATGAATATCCTTGATATTTTACCTCAGTTGATAATATTGACCATAATAAAAACTCATTTTTTTATAAAAAAAACTATAAATTGTTGATACTAAAATTCGAAGTGTGTTTTCCTTTACATTTTATCGCCGTTATTTATGTGGACCATAAGAAAAAGTTATTTAAAAATTAAATAAAAAATCTATTTAATAGATATTATTTTGATTAAATTAATCACCGTAGTAAAAAAATGTTATCAAATATATATTTTATAGTAGTGATTATTTTTTTAGATTAGTCTATAACTGGACCAAATCTCAAGATTTAAAAAGAAAAAGAAAAAGATAAAAGAATGGGATCCAAATTGTTGACAACTCTTCCCTTTGATTGAAACCAAATGAACGCTTATCAAGAAGCATAGGATCTACTATATCCATCTAGTCTTAAGGATTTAAAGAGAGATTAATATTTTTTAAGAGACATTATTGACAAGTCTATTGGTCAACCGAAAGGTAGAACCATATCATCCGTTTGAATCCTTGTCTTTTCCATACACAAATGATGTGCAAATATGTGGATTGCATATCTTAAGATTGTAGGCAAGTTCCCATCAATGGATATTGACTTTCCAAATTCATGGACACAATTAAGTTGAAGAACTTAGTGAGAGACAAGAAGGGAGTGGCTTACCGACACACTAAACAAAATTAATTTAAACACACCAAAAATAAAGTTGTTAGAGTATATATATACACAAACATAATCTATAAAAATGACAAGCATTGAACACCTATATAAACCAAACGTTTATGGGGATAGAATAGGGACAAATAAAAACCAACTAACTTTTCCACCTTGTCTCTAATGTGGTACAAATGGTCTTAAAGAAGCAATAAATTATAGTATTAAATAAAACACATGTATTTTTTTTATTTAGAAAATAAATACATAAAATCCAAAGTACATTTTAGATTCTACGTAAGTTTGTATATAAATCACATGCAACGTATATGGATTTAGATTATATATCAAAGTCACATGACCATAGGGAGCACAAGAAATCTTGCAGAATCAGAAATAGGCCCAAAATTGGCATAAAGTTTGCACCTGAGGGAGTATTTAATTAGGAAATATAATTATGTCTTGAATGATAGGAGAGAGAGAGAGAGAAAGAAAAGGGGAGAGAATGAGTATACAAAAGAAAAAGTATATATCCTCTCCTGTTAAATTTTATTCTTACATTTTTTAATCAATAAATTATTCTACACACCAACGATTTATATTTCTTAATTAACAATGGAAATTTAGGGTTTGTATTCTGCTGCTAGGGTTTTGTATACTTCAGTATAATATCTTTTTTACCCTAAAGTCAAAAAATTGCTTCAAAATTCTCAAGCATGTCTCGTCAAAAACTACATAAATATCAACCTATCTATATAAGTTTTTTATAAGAAAATTTCATTAATCAAATTCAAGATAAAGATGAAAACTTACTATGAATCTCAAGACGCTAATTGCTTGAAGGACTTAGAAGAATTATCATGAGTGCCCTTAATTTGACTCCTCTTCTTCTTTTTCTTTGTGTAAGGAATCCCTCTAGCTTTTGATTGACACTCCTTAACTTCCCTAAGGTAAACTCGAATAGCTCCGGTGCCGAACGGGTTATTCTCCGGCGAACCACCGTGTTCTTCGTAGGCGGCTCTAAGCCGGCCGATGAGTGCATCGAGACTCCCCCAAGCTTGTCTCAACGGACAAGTGCACGGCGCGGGCGGATCGGGTTGTCCGAAAAAGATACAACCGTGTAAATGAACCTTAGTCTTTCCAAATTGATCCAAGTAACGAAGAAACTCAAGCACATGGTTGAAGTTGCACTGAGACAAAGAAACCGGAGGTGTTTGGTTTCTTAAGTACTGTCCAAACGTGTTCCAGTCACGTTTCTTTTGCGATTCGTAGCGGCTTAAAGGAGCTACCGCCGATGGTTGATCGGCGGTGGCACCGGGTCTTGATGAAGATGAGGAGGCTTGAACGGTGTCGTTTTGCATTGAGATGGACATGGTGAGTGAATAGTGTAGAGTTGATTAATTTATTACTAGTGTTTGTGTTTGTGGGAGATATGAGGATGAGAAGAGAAGGAATTAATAGATGTTTGTGGGAAGGAGAGGTATAATGGAGGTGGTGAAAGAATTTGTGAGTGTAGTGGAGAAAGATGAAAATAACATCTATTGGTCTTTTGAGAGGACATGTCATGGGCCCTATGTGTAGGTGCTTTTGTTCCCCTTTTCAAATTCTCTCTCATTTTTGTATTTTTCACTTTTTACCTATATTGTTACAATTATTTGTGATACTATAGTGGCTTATTTTATTTTTATATTTCATACTTTAAAATCAATCTTTTAAAAATTGGTACGTTGGACATGTCTCATTTGAGTATTATGATTTTTTTCGAGATTTTACAGACATAAATATTAACATAAATATTTTATAATTTTAGACTTTAAAAGTGTAATGCTAGCAAGTCTTTTCCGTCTCACCTTTATGATTTCGGGACGAGGAAGGTTTTAGACCTACATCCGATAATAAGTTTACTGCATTCCATTTTATTTTTTCGGACTTTTACAGACGTAGATATTAATATAAATTTTTAGAATTTTAAATTTTAAAAATGCAATACCATCATTGGTTTTTAAAATAATATAAAAAACGAGAATGGATAGAAGATATTATAGTTTACTTATTTTACATTTTTTTTAAAATTTTTTGTGGATTAAGAAAAGTGTGCAAGTTAATTAGGTATATTATGTCGCATCATTGATCATCATTTTCACAACATGAATTATGAGACTTGGTGATGCTTGAAATGAGACCCTAGTATTTTCTTATTTTGTCTAATTCAAGGAAGCCAATTAGAATTGGTTTACCCAAGAGTTGGTGCCTTAGTGCGCATAGTCCAAGTTGGACTTGATTTAAAACAATATCTATTAATAAGCATAATTTAGTCCACTAATTGAGTGATTAGTTAGTTGTGTTGTGTCTATAGTGATCAATTAATGCTTTGTGAATAAATGAGATTTTGAGTTTCTTGATTGACATGAGCACAAACATTAACTGAGCAAAGAACATTCTTAAACTATTTTGCGAGTAAGATATTTGGTATCTTCGTATGTATAGTACCAAGGTTATTGACCCACTTCTGAAGTTCTTTTGGCTACGTGTTTGTTTTCCATTAATTCTATTACTATGAATGGTTTTGATATTATAAATATAGATAAGGGATGGAATCTATAGCGAGAATAATTCAAGCTAACCTCTCCTTTATGCTTAAGTGTTGTTAGAGTTTTTTATAATTAACTTTCAATTATTATTTAGTTAATTACACTTACTTTTATGTTTTATGTTTGTTGTGTAAAACACGGTAGTGTTAGGATAATTAGGGGTTAAAAAAAATAAAGAGAGAAAAGATAGAGAAACTATATCGTAAAAAGAAAATTTTATTAAAGTAAAAATTACATTATTTTTAATTTACAACATCAAATGTATATATAGGTAACTAAAACATAATTTATAAATTGTACTATTCTGACTTTGTCTAATATTTGTTTACACATTTCAACACTTATATGATGTATTTAATTTTGTCGAATACAACCATGTAAAATACATCTTGCCTACTAAACAATGAATAATTGGCTTCTAACATACAATCTAATTTATGTTTTCAAAGCTTCTCATCCCAATACTTCTCTTCAACTCATCAAACCTTACTTTCTTCAGGTTTTGGTGAATATATCAGCTAATTGTCATTCTGACTTGCAATGGTTAAGTTCAAGTTTTTTTTTTTTTTTACTTGATCCCTAAAAAAATGATACACATGATCATGACACACATGATGATTTCCAAGATCGATAGCTAATTTATTGTCGAAAAAATTCATTTTCTTAGATTCCATGATCTTGAGCTCTTCGAGCAACATCTCTATCCATGTTGCTTGACATGGTGCATATATGCAGCCACGTATTCAGTCTTACAAGATGACAAAGCCACAATGCTTTGGTTTCTTGAGCGCCAAGAGATTTGAGCACCTCCAATCATGAGTATGTAGTTTGTAGTAATCTTATTCTTGTTTTGATCTCCACTGAAATCTGAATCAGTGTAGCCATGTATCTTAGAACCTGTGTTGGTATTCTTTCTCCTTGACATCAACACATCATGATCGATAGTACCTTTTATGTATCTCAATAGTCTCTTGACTGTAGTGAGATGAAATTCTTGTGTCTTCTCCATGAATCTGCTCAATCGTGTGACAACTATGGTACAACTACTCATCTTGAACCTTTTCAAGATATCTTAGGCATACTTCTTCTGGTGCATAAACACCCCATCAATTGTGTCTTTAAACTCCATCCCTAAGAAATACGACAAGTTCCCTAGGAAAGAAGTTTTAAATTCATGCATTAGTTTCGACTTGGGCCCTTTTATTTATGCTTCATCTGCATCTGTATTCATCAAATCATCTACATATAAGCATATACTAACTCGACTCAACCTGCTTACATTTTGACATACACTTCATGTTCTGAGATGCATTATTTGAAACCTACCTCGACCAGGAAACAATCTAGTCTCTTATTCCAAGCCGTTGGGGCTTGGTTCAAACCATATAGAGTCTTCCTCAATTTGTACACCTTATTCTCCTACCATTTGCTTTCAAATCCTAATAGTTGACGAACATAAATCTCATCTTCCAATGGTCCATTCAGAAATGTTGACTTTACATCTAATTGATGTATCTTCCATCCTTTGTATGATGCGGTCGTCACAACAATTTTGGTGCTTTCCAACCTTACAACAAGTGCCCAGACTTCATCGAAGTCGATACCAGGTTTTTGCAGGAAACCTCTTGCCACCACTCTTGCCTTATGCTTGGAAATTTTACCATTAGACCTTAGCTTCAACTTGTAGACCCATTTCACATTAATTGACTTCTTTATTGAATTTTCTACAAGATCCCAGGTCTTGTTCTTCTCAATTTCCCTTAGTTCTTCTTGCATGGCTGCCAACCAATTTGAACCTTTCATAGCTTAATCCAAATCAATTGGTTCAGATTCATCCATCATCATCACTTCTTTTATGAAGTCACCATCTACATTGATTGCTTGATCTAGAAATCTTTCATATCCAACTAGCCTTATCGACTCAGTTCTCATTCTAGTCGATCTTCTAATATTTTACTCAGGTGGTTCTTTATTTCGATTGGTTGTAAGTTCAGTTTGTTGATCTTATTTAAGCATAATTTTGATTGTATCTTGTTCATGTCGAACTGACCCTTGAGTTCAATTCTACCATTTGCTCTCGTCCACTAGAACAACCCTATTGATCACTAACTTATCATCATTTGGTAAATACAACTTGTATGCATCATTCGAATGATACTTATGAGCATCATAACTTGACTTTGGTCATTTAGCTTCTTCCTCAATTATTCAGGTACATGCCTAAAACACATTGATTCAAAAACTCTAAGATGACTAACATTTGGCTTTAGTCATGTCCAAGCCTCATAAGGTGTCTTCTAGATTATCTTTTTGGTTGGACATCTATTTAGAATGTGTATTATTGTCAAAGCTACTTCACCTTAAAATTTCTTTGGCATTTCATTAGCTTTCAATATACTCTTGGTCATGTTCAAATCCTCTCAGCTATACCATTGTGTTGAGGTGTATTGGGTGCAATGAACTCATGCTATATTCCTTCCTCATTTCAAAATATTTCAAATTCTCTAAAGGCTTATTCACTTCCACCATTGGTTCTGAGTTTCTTTAACATGCGGCCGCTTTATTTATCAACATGCAACTTAAACTTCTTGAATTGTGTGAATACCTCACTCTTCCTTTCAATAAGGTAAATACCTATATATCTGGTAAAAAAATCACCTATGAAGGTTAGTAAATACCAATTACCCTCATTCGACCTTACTTCAAAAGGTCAACACATGAAAGTGGACAAGCTCTAGCTTTTCTCTTGACTTTATGGACAAGTCATGTTTGAATGCTTTCCTAGCCTGATTTGCTTTGCAACATTCCTCACACACCTAACTTAGTTCCTTCACTTAAGGTAAGGCATACAACATCTTATTCTGGTTAAGCATACCTAGACCTCTAAAGTTTAGGTGTTCATACCTGTGATGCCAAAGCCATATCTTGTCTTCAATAGCGGTTGAAACAAGATATTGATGATCAACCGTGTTGATATTTACTTTGAATGTGTTGTTATCTGCTAATTGTACCTTCAGGATCATCTTCCTTCACCATTATACACCTTCATCGTATTTCCTTCCAACTTCATGTTATACCCTTTTGCAATTATTTGGTCTATGCTTATCAAATTACTTGTCATCAAAGATACATATAATACACTAGTAATACTGGCCCTCTTGCCATCTTTTCTCACCACAACTATGTTTCCTTTTCCACTTAATGTGACATTCCTGCCATCTGCAAACGTGATCACTTTCTTGACCGATTCATATAACTGGGTGAACCAATTTTTATTGTTATTCATGTGGTTAGTGCATCCTAAATCCAGGTACCACATATTGGTTTGTTAATCACTTTCTTTACTGATTCATATAACATGGTGAAAAAAATTTTATTGCTAGTCATGTGGTTACTGCATCCTGAATCCAGGTACCACATATTAGTTTGTTAATCATTTGACTGAGTATTTTCCATGAGTAGCATATCATCAAAGTCACTTCCTCCAACATGTGCATACATTGTCATTATCTTTTGCTCTTAATTTCTTTTTTCTTCGACAATATAGAGCATAATGACCAAATCCTTGACAGTTGTAACACTGGACCTCCTTCATGTCAACTTTCTTCCCTGAATACCTGTTTCCATGACTTTCTTAGTAAAATCAAAGTGATTATTTAAGTTATTGCTTGACTTCTCACACTACAAGATAATTTGCAAGTTGTGACGATTAATTTTGGCAGGTTACAACAGTTTAAACGACCATAAATTGCTAGTCGTGACAATTTTGTTTCTGTCACGAA